CGTACCTATATGAAAAAGTTAATTGAGTCTTTGTACTCTAAAGGTAATAAATCAAGTCCACGAAGTGTAAAAAACAACCAAATCTACCGTTTATGCAGTAGTAATCAACTGGTAAACCAATTAGTTGCTGATTTGGATTGCAACGTGGTGGTTGGTAATTACTATTCATTCCACATTGTTTAATATAGTCTCTCTCCTCTTCACCCTAATCAACAATTATTACCTATTTTTGACCAGCAACTGTAATAGTCTCAAGTCGTAAGTTTGATCTTCAGCTTTCACAAGTGTGAAAGTATATTAGAATATACTTTAGAATATACTTTAGAATATATTAGGAATATACCATATATAGTATTATTGTACATAGTATCTTTTATAGGAATATTCTATCTTTGTAATCTATATTTATAGGGCCTTACCCTTCAATGAAATATACAGAAAATCCTTTCCTCTCCAATATTATTTCTTAGTTAATATGCTCTATTTCAACATGGTATCAGAGCCATCTATTTTGGTTTAGTTTTTCAGATTCCAGTTTAGTTTTCAGACTGATTTGTCTTCAAGAACCTAAGTTCAGTTTTCAGTTTTTTCCAGAACCTCTAGGGCTCATTTCTCCAGTACAGATCCTCTACAAACCATTAACCAGAACATCTGGTTAATTACCCCCATCTCCTCCAGAACCTTTCAGAACCTTAGTACAGTCCAATTAGTCAATTAACCCCATCTCCTCCAGGCCCGACCATATTCCAGGCGAGTGCTAGCCAATTACCTATCTCGTCTCTACCAAATATCTGGTGTGCCTGCCTGCCGTAGACGTGCAGGTGTTCAAAAAAATCCGAAGTTCCAAATCAACACCTGTGAGCCACACGGGCCTCTGGAAGTACTCACAGCCGGCGCTTGATACTGCTGCTCTGGCCGAAGATTTGATCGGAGCTCTTCACCTGACACTCGCTTGAAAGTCCTCTGCCAGGTATACTTTACTTCTCACGTTCTTTGTCCAGCAAGGGACGAGATCTGTGGGCCGAAGGAAGCTTGGTGGTTGGTCACTAGTGTCTGGCATCGGATACTGTGGACGCCCCAGGTGGGTTGGTCGCTGCCTCGCTGGTGTCTAGCATCGGATATGTGTGGACACCCCTTGGACTGCTACCGATATGTCAGTGCATCAATTTTAAAAGTCCAAACAATATCTCAATTTTGAACTTACTACTGCAAAGAAAAAAAAAACAATACAAAAAAAATGTTGGGTCAATTTGATCGAGGAGTAATATGTAATTACTGCAAGAAGCCCGGGCACCTGCTCAAAGAATGTAGAAAATTGCTGTTCAAAAATCAAGAAAATCAGCTTCCTCATGTTGCTTCCGCTACCAGTTCATTTGATGAATCAATTGCTATTTCTTCAGACGAGTATGCCAAATTTATTTGCTACCAAGAATCTCTAAAGCATTCATATGTCCCTATCTCGACAACCACGAATTCAGGTATTTCAAACACATGTCTTGTTTCATCATCCTCGAAATGGGTCATTGACTCAGGTGCCACAGATCATATGACCGGTAATCCTAGTCTATTCTCATCATTTCATTCATATTTACCTATTTCTAGTGTCACTTTAGCTGATGGATCTACCTCACTCGTTCTTGGATCTGGTATTGTTGTTCCAACTTCTACATTACCATAATCACCTGTTTTGAGTCTTCCTAATTTTGCATTTAATCTGCTTTCCATCAGTAAAATCACTCGTACTCTTAATTGTTCTGTAACATTTTTTCCTGGATATTGTGTGTTTCAGGATATGTTAACGAAGCAGATTATTGGTAAAGGACATGAGTCAGCTGGTCTTTATATTTTGGATACATCCATCACAAAAGGTATCACTTGTCTTGGGGTTGGGACTTTGTTAGATGCTCATTACCGATTAGGGCATCCATCTCTCCCATTAATGAAGCAAATAAATCCCCAATTTAATAAGATGACCTCTTTACAATGTGAGTCATGTCAATTTGCGAAACACCATCGTACTAGCTTAAGCCCGCGAGTTAATAAACGAGCAAATGCTCCATTTGACCTTGTTCACTCTGATGTTTGGGGTGCTTGCCCGGTTGTGTCTAAAGCTGGTTTTAAATATTTTGTTACCTTTGTTGATGACTATTCTCGTATGACATGGCTGTATTTCATGAAACGTCGATCTGAGTTGTTCACTCATTTTTCTTCCTTTTGTGCTGAAATTAAAACTCAGTTTAACGTTCCTGTTCGGGTGTTAAGAGGAGACAATGCCCAAGAATATCTATCTGCTACATTTAAGTCATTTATGCTTCAACATGGCATTATTCATCAAACTTCATGCGTTGACACACCTCCTCAAAATGGAGTTGCAGAACGAAAGAACCGACATCTGTTAGAAACTGCTAGGGCTCTTCTATTCCAAATGAATGTGCCTAAACAGTTTTGGGCAGATGCCGTGTCTACTGCATGTTTTTTGATAAATCGAATGCCATCTTCTGTTTTGAATGGTAAAGCTCCTTATCATTGTCTATTTCCAAACAAAGAGCTTTTTCCTATCCCACCTAAAATATTTGGTTGCACTTGTTTTGTTAGAGATGTTAATCCTCATCTTACAAAGTTAGATCCCAAATCATTAAAATGTATTTTCTTGGGTTATTCTCGAGTCCAAAAGGGGTATAGATGTTTTTGTCCGAGTACTGGTCGGTATCTTGTTTCTATTGATGCATCATTTCATGAAAATACACTTTTTTCATCATCTAAGGCAGATATTCATGAAATTCGAGTTGGTTATTTATGTAACAAGTTGGGCATGATAAATATCTATGCTCCAACTTGAGGGGGAGTGTGAAAGTATATTAGAATATACTTTAGAATATATTAGGAATATACCATATATAGTATTATTGTATAGTATCTTTTATAGGAATATTCTATCTTTGTAATCTATATTTATAGGGCCTTACCCTTCAATGAAATATACAGAAAATCCTTTCCTCTCCAATATTATTTCTTAGTTAATATGCTCTATTTCAACAACAAGAAAATGTCATCTGCATCTTCATCGACTACGGGAAACAGACCAAGCTTTAATGTTCATTATGAACTGCCCTTGTACTGTTGTTGTGGATGGAAACCCACCCTGTGTATTGTATGGGAGAGTGGGAGAAATTTCCATAGGTGTAAAAAATGGATGTAATTGTTATTTTTACTTCAATTGGGTGTAAGAAATGGAAACATGAGTATTTAATCTCAATTTTTGTTAATTACAAGTTTCAACTTTTTGCTAACAAAGATGAACTGAAGGATTTTTTTTTTTTAATATTTGAATTAACTTTAATAAGTAATGACATTGTATTCCAGGTGTGTCGGTGTGGACTTTTTGTGTGGATGGATGCTGTGGAAACCAGAGACATAGTTAATGGTGAAAAGATGAATGAAAATAGAGATGGAGTGAAGGCCCTGAAGGGAATGATCTCAATAGTTGTTGAACACTTAACTGCTCTACAAGGACAACTTGAAGGTGTTAGAAAGGTAAGTGAAGCCAAGGACGCCAATTCGCCTAAACATTTAGGAAGTTGTTTGGGTTTGCTGTAATTGTAGTGCTTGTTTTAGTTGTCATGGTTTATTTTGAGTGTTGTAAACTGTTGTATTGGTGCATTAATGAGTTTAAACTTCTTTTGTACTGGCTGTTTTACTCATTTGTAAGAATGATGTGGAATGCATCAATGTTAATGTGTTATTTGACAGGGATCACATGTTCACATGGGTGCTTTTAAGTTCAGTACCGGTTTGTACATGGGTGTAATAATGCAAAGAGTAGCAAATCCGATTTGTGATTTTAAGCATTGGAAGACATGGTCGACAAATAGAAGTATAAATGCATGTCGTAAAATGACCTTACTACTAGACAGCCAGAGCTTAAGTTATAATTTTAGTACTAAAAACACTTTTTGGTGCCAACAAGTTTACCCACCATAGACCAAGAAGCAGAATAGTACTGACACAAAATAGTCAACACAACCACAAGTTTCTGGGCCACTAGTTTAAAGGTAAAAACCAGTAGCACTTGTTCTAAATTTTACATGCACAACACTTCATGTTCATCCAGACTTCAATGAGATAGAAATACAATGAGATGTTCAATTCTTTCATAACAGTCACATATGTTCATATAAGATTACATAAAAAAACATCTAGAAGGAACAAGTGATGGCGTTGAAATACACACCAAATCCTCTTTCTACTCTAACCCTGTGTCCTCTGACTCCTCTCCTTCTCCTTGCCTCTCCCTCCTCCACTCCCCTCTTCCCATTGGTTGTCTCCTTCCTCTAACTTCACTTGTGCCATGGTCATCACTTCGTCTTTCAACATCCACACGACTTCTTGACACTGCTGAATGAGTAGATCTTCCTACCCCTCTCCCCAAAACCTGCGCTTTGACCTTCAACATCCATGCCACATGGCTCTGTGAATCGGTAGATCTTTGTCTCCCTCTTCTCTTTATATTTGTTCTTCCTCTTTCTTCCCTAGGTGTGTTGTTGTTTGGACAAGAACCTTTGTTGTGTCCTTCCTCTTCACAAATGGAGCATGTCATTATCCTCAATTGTTTCAACCTTTGTTGTGTCCTTCCTTTGACAAAGATGGCACATATTTTTAAGGCTAACTTTGAACTGTTTCTCCCTTTCCTTATCTCATAACCGTTATCCACATTGAAGTCAACTAAGCAAACCTCTACTTGCTAAAATGTTCCTTATTCAGCTTCTTCATAGTCAAATGCCCAAATTTTCCTGAAAATTGTGAGTAATAACACATTATACCGTAGTACTTAATGAAAAAGTCATTGGTATACCTGAAGGATAAACTGTTTTTAATATGAAAATCAGTACTATAAAATTAATAGTCAATAATATAATGGTTGGTAATAAGTCTGAAAATGTAATGGCTATAATTGCAAATTAGAAATTCACAATCTATTTCTATACAAGTGTAGAAACGGACCGTTAATCTTCACTTGCTTGATATTCATAAACACTTGAGTATAAGTGATAGTGTGTCAGTAACTTAGAGCTACCCATTCAGTTTGCAAATGGCAAGAACAATTCTTCATGTACTTTCCCTTTCTTTTAGATTGAATGAAATCGCATTCAACCAACAATATAATGAAGTGGAAGAATGAATAAAACAAAGACAAAAATACAAAATCTGAAATGGAAATCAAACTTCCACCACCAGCCCCTTGTCCAGGTTGTGATTATCTTCTGCCAAAAAGTGCTGGACACAAACTCTCATGTCTTCAACACCGTCGCACCCATCAAAGAACTCCATCAACCTCTTCAACTCGCCATCCCCGAGATCATTAGTAAATGGGCGAATAGGAATTGCGTTTTGGGGCTGTAAAGCATATGAGTTCGGGTTGTCGTCTACAATCACGACCCTCTTCATATCCCTCCCCAATCCAGACAAATCCTTCACAAACTTCCCATCCAGTTCCTTGCAAGAATCTCTGTATAGCCTGTGTGAAATCAAGCCCTTCCTGTCCAGCCTATCCAGAACCAGAGAGGCATACTCCTTTATCCCTGCTGTGAACACCACAATCTCGAATTTCTTGCTCAACGATTCGAGAAATTCATCCACGAAGGGTCTCTTCAACACGTAGAACTCCACGCGGTCGCCGTCCAGCACCGGGCGTACCACGAAATCGTACTTTTCCGGTGGGAGGTTGGTGTTGGAATGGATCAGAGTTTCGTCCAAGTCAAGAAAGATGGTTCTTTTCTCAGGGGAGTGAGAGGGGGGGAGGGGGTTTTCTTCATCGAACAGAGACCGCCGGAGATCGGGGACTTTCTCCAGGACTTTATAGCCTCTTTTTCTTGGGGTTCTCTTTGGGGTACCGGAAATGCAGGTGAGTTTGGAGAAGATCTTGACGAGGCGGCCACGGCAGGTGTAGAAAGACCTGTTGATGGAGGCAACCACCACGGATGTGACTGTGGCTGTGGCCGGATTCTTGATCGGAGACCTTTTGCGGCCTCGTCGGAGATGGTTCTTGTGCGCCCTGAGAGACTTCGTTGGGGTCTTCTTCAAAACCTTCGACACCATTTTCTAATGTCTCCGGCCTGCACGTTGCGGAGAAAATTTGCAGAGAAGAGAAGAGAGTGTATGCTCAGGGAGAGAAATAGAGAAGTTAATGGGTTACATAGCGGTTTCGTAATTTGATTTTGAAATTTAGGATCGGTGGCAACGGTCAACAAAGTTTTCGGATCGGTACTATAGCTGCAGGCTGGGATGAAACCCTTCGGACTTAGCTATGTTTGGCATGCACATTCAGCTCATAAACAGCTGAAATTTCTTAATTTCACTCGTTAACTAATGTAACACCTGAGGCATGCCCTGGTAGTGTCACGTTGATATGAATTAAAATGGTAAGTATCAATAGAGGATGTGCATTATTTACAAAATTTGTTATAACATCTTTTATGTTGAAAAATGATATGTTTACTGATCTTTTGAGAAAGATGATTTTAAATAAATGATGTATATTGTTTATTATTACTCCCTCCGTCCCTTAAGACTTGTCATCTTTTCCTTTTGGAGTATACAAGAAACTTTTTCACTTTTTATTTTAATCAACTAATTTGTTATTTCTGTTATTTCAATGTTTGTTAATGTCAACGTATTGCACTATGCTTTCAAAATGATATCGTGGAAAACAAATTAACAATAGTATGACATTATTAAAAATATGTACTTTAATTTGGAAATTTTACATTAATTTCACCTCTTTTTGGGTAAAGATTATACAAGCCCATTTACTTATTTCTCTAGGTTTTTGTTTTTGTTATCTATTTTCATTTTCAAGTTTTTCATTTTCCAAAACCATAAATTAAGTATAAACATTGATGAATTAAAACCTGATAGAACCGAAGGCGTAAAAAAATGACAACAGAGGTGAATCTTGGCCGGCCTCTGTTAGAGGCTTATTATGTCTTCTTCGTAGATTATCATTTATGTAAATGTTTTGTTTTGTTTTAAGGGAAAATGGAAACTAATAATCCAACCTTTTAGCGGTCTTCTTTTAATAGTCTCACCTTTTCGTTATTCATGAATAATCCAACCTTTGCACCTCATCTTCATTCACTGGTCCCTGACCGGTTGATGACATGCTATTCCGAGTTATTTTCTTATCTTTGTAAAATATTATCTTTGTGAAAGGTGAAATTAATGGTATAATAGTTTGCAAAGATAAGAAAATAACTCGGAATAGCAGGTCATGTACCGGTCGGGGACCAATGAATGAAGATGAGGTGCAAAGGTTGGATTATTCATGAATAACACAAAGGTCGGACTATTAAAAGAAGACCGCTAAAAGGTTGGATTATTAGTTTCCATTTTCCCTTGTTTTAAATGATTTTAATTTTCGAGCACTTTATTTTGTATTGTACAAACATATTAATTTCTCAACAGTACCATGATCGTGCTCAACTTGGTAATCATACCACCACAAAATCAGCCTCAATTGCCATGAGGGTTATTATCCCCTCCGGTTCGATAATCTCTCGTGAAGTTTGACATGGGGGTTTTGACTGGCTTCAAGGCTTCTTTCTAGAGGCCGATCTCAAATTAGGTATACAGGTGGAGGATATTCACCAAACTGTCATTGTCTATCAAGACTTCATGGACAATTGTGTCAACAATCTCCATCTTTAACATCAGGGCATCCCTATGTGGGGGAGGGCAGGGTGGTAAGCCATCCTCAGTAAAAATGATGGACTCCCGCTTATGCTTCTTTTCCATCGGGAAACAGTTGATCTCTCGATGAATAGTTGATGACTCCGCTTTTTTCCTTTCCCTAACGGTATCTCCCCCCGCTGGTCCATTATAGATCTGGTTGATATAGAGGCGCTTCCGTCGGCCAAACTTTTCGCCTTCATCATCGTCCTTGAACTGGGCTCTGACCCTCTTCTTGGCGATTGAGGCCTGGTCGCCTTTGCCCTTGATCCAGACGCTCTTCTTTTGAGGGGGTGGCCCCTGCCAGTTCGTTTTCACAAATTGATCTAATTATTGCCCATCCTGAATGAGCCTTTCTACATACTTTTTCAACATGTAACACTCATTCGTCTCGTGAGTGTCGCTCCTGTGCAACTTACAATACTTTCCACGGGTAGCCTGACCGTTGATAACGTCACAGGTGTTGGGAAACGTTACCAAGCCCTGCTTCGTGGCATAATCCAGGATTGTTCTCACCGAATGTGTTAATGGGGAAGACTGGATAAAGGTCCTTCAGGTGCCCCTGACTTACCTTTGCTCCAGACCTTCTTCTTTCTTTTGAACCCACATCCTTTGTCTTGGTCATGTGTTTCCTTCTCGTTATTCTTGTTCTTTCCATTATTGGCTTGATGTTTTCCATCTTCTTCCTCTCCCATTCTTTACTCCGCCTCTTCCATTTCTGCTTGTAGGTCAGCTTGTCGCAAGGTTTCCTCATGAGAGGTTGGGGGTTATCGCATGATTTTTTTGTGCAATTCACCCGACCTCAAAGCATTGTTGAATATGGCCACTGTTGCCTTTTTGTCTAGGTCGTTAACCTATACGGATTCATCTCTCCAACGAGCCAGGAAGGCGGTTAAGGTCTCTTGGCGCCCCTATTTGACTCGCAGTAAGTGAGAGAAGTTCTTCTTTGAATTGGCGAATCGAGCTATGAAAGCCACGGCTAACTCCTGGATGTTCTGTATTCTTCCACCCATCAAGGAGTCAACCACTCTCGGGTTGGTCCATCCAGGGTTACAGACTTACAGAGAATCCCTTTCACCTGATTGCATCTTCATACACCATAATCACCATGTAGGCCATGTAACTAGAAACATGGTGTTGGGGGTCGGTCTTTCCTCGATAGACCTCAATGTGGTGGGGCTTATACCCCTAAGATAGTGGGGGTATCCATGATTCGGCGGATTAATGGTTCGGTAATCCTCACATCATGGGTGGGGTTCGCCCCTGATACTCGTGTAATTTCTGATTGTATGTTTGTATTTTTAACTAGTTTTTATTAGTTTTAGTTGTGGAAATTACACACTTTTGGTGTAATATTTTATTTTCATTTTTATTTGTAATTTGTTTAGATTAGGATTATTCTGAGCTAAACAGGTCAAAGATCATCCAAGGGATCAAGATTGGACCTTAAAAGATCAAGGAAAGTGCAAGGAGACAAGAAAGATTTCGATTTGGAAAAAATACGCATGTACCCGGTCGGGTATTGCCTATACCCGATCGGGTATTGCCTATACCCGATCGGGTATTCGCTTTATTCGATTGTCCAAATCAAATCCAAGAACAAATGATCGTGGGAGAAAATTTTCGTGAAGATTTGTCACATACCCGATCGGGTATGCCCAGAAAAGTGACTTTCTGGGGCAATTTCCTAAGATACCCGATCGGGTATCCTATATACCCGATCGGGTATCAGACCCTGCAGCTCCCAAAAGCCTATAAATACACTCCTTTCCTTCACAATAAAATCACCAGTTCACATATACTCTTTATCTCAGTTTAGATTAGTGTTTTGTTTACATTTTCTATCATGTTTAGTCTCCAAATGAGGAGCTAAACTCTTCCATCTTGGTTTTGCTACTTTGAAGCTTAAAGAATTTGTAAGTTGTGAGTTATTCTCTTTAATCTTCTTCCTTGAATATTAATTCTTCTTTTAAATACTATTTCTATATCAATGTTGGGGAGTGTTACTAAGATGACAATTAGTTAACATCTTGACATTAGTTACAGTAATAGTTATTTCTCCCTCTACGTTAATATTGGGGAGTGTTACTAAGATGACAATTAGTTAACATCTTGATATTAACGATAGTAGGATTCATCTTCTTTAATATTCTTCCTTGAGTATGAATTAATTCCTATTCAAATTTCATATTAATATTTTGAACATTACTTAAAGGAGCAACTAGTTTTGTTTCATATATTAATTATAACTAGAATCGATCGACGAATACGCTTGTTAATCGTTCAATCGTTTCACAGTAGTAAACTTGGGTTATTAATGAATGTGTTTCATGGTTAATAAACCAAGGGGAATTAATTATGTTGATTAAACCAATAAACCACTTGTGTTGAGGTTATCAATCTCAGTCATTTTCATCTTGATTTTATTGCTACTAACGGGTTAATATATGTCGCGTGTTCTATATTAACTCGATAGTAAGTTTTATTAATGAACACATCTCGTTATTAATAACTACCCTCGATGAACTGGATATACTCCTCGATTGAGTATTCGAGAGGAAGATAGTTAAAGATATAACCGGGATCGACGAACATTTCATTAAGTGGATAAAAGCAAAACGAAATCCCCATCTCTATTAATTAAGTGGATATAACCAGGAACATTTCATGTGCCTGGAGCAGCCTGAATCTATGTACCATTCTTTTGAGTCTGCTGCTCCAGCACCTTCCTGTATTTCATCAGTGTTGAGCAGCAGCCCACAAGTTAGTGGACATCTTTCCTTGAATTAGTTTGGGCATCCATGCCCATCTAGAACCATCTAACTCTAAGCAGATTGGTCTATAGCCATTTGGGGTGTTGTAGTCATATGGAATGGCTGTGTATTTGTTTATTTTCTTTCTCCTGAATGTAGGAGAAGAATGGTTTCTATTGGGTAGGGTTTTCTGCTTCTTTGGTTGGTAGCTGGTCTTATTGGTAATTTGCCAGCTTGTTCTTTGGTTTACTAGGTTGTTTGGAAAAATTTGTCTGTACAAGAATTTGGATTTTGGTTTGGGAGCGGACTGATTCCTTCTTGTGGGAATAGTTTGGAAATGGGAGTGTTGGGGGCTTGAATTTGTTGTTTTCTTAGGTTTGATGGTGTAGCTTGTGGACAAGGAGTTTTTTGTGTGTCTGGAGGGGGATTTGTATCCAAGGCCTCTGTTCTTCCTTCTAGGGATAATCTCAGCAGTAGGATCATTATGTTTACTATTCATGCTGAGATTATTCATTTGGTTTTTCAGCTCAGTGTTCTCTTCTTTCAAGTTTTTGATTTTAGTCAAGGCATCTAAGAGTTTATCATGAATGTTCTTAGTGTCTTGTTTTAATCTTTCATTTTCAGATCTTAAGAGAACATGGTGATTTTGGACCTTCTGAAAATCTTGAAGCAAAGATTCTAGAGTAATACTTGATGGTCCAGAATCACTTGAGCTATAGGAAGAACAAGTGGTTACCTCTACATCATTGGAGTGATCATTTGTCATAAAACATTTGAGTGAGCAGTCTTCTTTGTCAGAATCATCCTTGGTAGCTGTACTCTAGACCCAGCTGCTAACTTCCACAGCATCCTGCCAAGTTCCAAGAAAGAGAAGTGCTTCTTCTGAGCTTTCAGATGAGGAGCTTTCATCACATGAGCTGCCTTCATTATCACTTTGAGAATCTTCCTTCTTTTTCTCGCTTACAAAGGCTTGACGCTTGCCTTTGAAGTCTTTGTATCCAGCCTTTTGAGCTGTGGTCTGTTGTCCTTGATATTTGTGTGACAGTGGGAGAGGACACTAATTTTTGTAGTGTCCTGGCTGTCTACAATTGTAACAAAGGACAGTATTCTCACCTGATTGAGGTCTTCCTTGTCTTCTGAATTGTTGGGTGTGTGGCTTCTTTGAGGCAGTTCCCTCCTTTTTTCATGAACCGTTTGAACTTCCTCACAAACATTGCAAATTGTTCATCAGTGAGGAGATTGTTGAGTGACTTCTCAGTAGACTTTGATGAGCTGGGTTCGGACACTAATGCTAGTGTCTTGATTTCTTCTTCTTTTTCTTCCTTTATTTCCTTCATTTCAAACTCATAAACTTTTAGATCACTAAAGAGCTTATTTGTTGAGAGACTTCTGAGATCTCTGCTATCTCTCATGGCAATAACCTTCATATCCCATCTTGATGGTAGTCCTCTTAAAACTTTGAGAGAGATTTCTTTTTGGGAGAGAATTTTACCGAGGTCAGAGGATTCTGCAATAATCTCAAGAAATCTGGACTTCATATCATGGATAGATTCATTTGGCAACATTTTGAAATCTTCAAACTTTTTGAGAGCAATAGTCAGCTTGTTGTCCTTTTCTTGCTCATCTCCTGCTCCAATCTTTGTTAATTCGTCCCAGACGTCTTTGGCAGTTTCACATTTCCTTATTCTAGGAAATATGGATTCATCAACAGCTTTGAAGAGGATGTCTCTGGCAACATTGTCAAGACTGTTTCTCTTCCTGTCTTTAGTTGTCCATTCCATTTTTGGTTTTGGAATGTACATATCATCTGTTCCTTCAGTGGTTCTGGATGTGATGACCTTCATGATTTTGATGGGTCCATCTGTGATAACTTCCAACATTTCATCATGTAGGGCACTCAGATGTGTTTTCATTCTGATTTTCCAGTCATCAAATTTATTGAAGTTGAACAAGAGATTTTTGGAAAGTTGATTGTCCATTCTAGAAGGTTTTGGGAGAGGAGTGGGTTTTGGACCTTTAGTTCAAACTAGTCAGAGAGACTGACTCTAGGAACACACCGCTCTGATACCACTTGATGGTCCCAGATAGAGGTAAAAGTCTAGAGGGGGGTGAATAGACTTTTAAAGCCTTTTCAACTTTTAAAGAATTTCCCTCACAGATATGATGATCAGTAATCTTTTGAGAGATTAAGGATCTACAGCGGAAGTCTTGACCTCTATATATATAACAACCTTCTGTTGGTGAGTGGACAAGGAGAAGTCTGAGAGATAGAGGAGCTTTGGTGGCAGAGATGTTTTGGATAGAAGGTCTCAATCAGAATATCTTGGTGTGGTGTTCTGAGGTCTTATTGACAGAACCCTTCCCGAGGTCTTCTGTTGACCTTCGAACAGAATCCTTCACAAGGCTTCTGTTGAATTTGTAAGGTGATAATAGCTTAGAGGCTTCAGTTTGAAAGAGGTTACAACATAAACACGTCGAAAATTCAAAACACGAGTATTAAAATTTTATTTGAAGCTCTAATCACTTCAAACATCAAAGCTCAAACTTAACCAATGAACTTTGAACACTTAATAGAACAAAAGTGATTTAAATTTTCATGTAATAAATGAACATAAAAATCGTTGTAGTATGAGAGCGATGAAGGTTACTCGTCATCATAGTAGCAAGAATAGGACGTCTACTTCAATTCTTTCAAAACATAAATATAATACATTGAGTTTGCATGTATAGATATAAAAAAACATTATTACATTCTATTGATTCATAATAATTCTAATAATTAGAAATATCATGAAAATAGTAAATTAAAATATGTGCAATCAACTCCAAGTTATTTGGGTCATTTTATATTTATAAAATTTATGTGATGGAACAAAATATTATATCAACCTCATGTACAATTTTATTACTCCTTTTCCGTTAATTAAATTAGAATTATTAGTTAAATATCTTATATTGTTTTATTATTATTGTTGTGGTGGTGGTTATTATATTATTGTTGTTGTTGTTGTTGTTATTATTGTTATTAGTATTATTATTATTGTTGTTGTTGTTGTTGTTGTTGCTGCTACTACTACTACTACTACTACTACTAATATTATTTTATTTTTTTTAATAACGATTCCTTAACGGTTGCATGCACATATTTTTTATAGGAACCAGGAACCGAACTGTTATAACTCGGTTCGGTTCGGTTCCTACAAAAGAGGTATTAATTGTTAACGGTTCGGTTCCTAGATGTTGTTAATGGTTCGGTTCCAATCGGTCTACGGTTCCCGGTTCCAAAATCCCACCCCTAATTCCTGCTAATGCTAGCACATGATAACAATTATCAAGTTCTAAAACTAAGCCCGTGGGCAAATTCCAAGTAAATGTCCCTATTGCTAATGCTACAACTTTTGGACCGTTGCCTACTCGTAGGTCAACTTCACGTTTAGCCAGCCTTCTACTCCTTGTCAGTCCCTGCACATTTGAAAAAATGTGAGAACCACAACCGGTATCCGTGCACATTTACTTCTATCACATAGATACCTGAATTGGAAGCATCACCATGCCCCTTCTTTTTCAATTCCTCCAAATACGCCTTGCAATTCCGCTTCCAATGACCAGTTTTGTTGCAGTGGAAACATTTTTGCCCTTCTTTAGAAGTAGAGCAGAGAGCTAGCAACAGATTTTCCTTTACCCGAGTTCTTAACCAGGCTTTTGGATTTCTTGTTTGCACCAACCTTGCCTTTACCACGCTTCTTGAATCCCTTCCCCTTTTTGACCATCAAAACGTCACCCTGATTTTTCTTGATGTTTTGCTCAGTAGAGTTGAGCATTCCATGCAATTCGGTTAAGGTCTTCTCAAGACCATGCATATTATAGTTCATGATGATGCGAGAATCACATAAGTAGCTAACTCATGACTAATTGGAGATCGAAGTCTTTCCAAGTGGTCCCTATACCCAATCATCTTGAGTACGTGAGGCCCAATTGGGCTCAAATCAGTAAGCCTTGTGTGAAACAAAGCTTTGGTTGTCTCGAACCTTTCAATCCGTGCTTGTTTCTAAAACAAGTTCTTGAGTTCATTAGAGATGTCATGTGCACGACGATTCCAAAATTGTTTCTGAAGATTGGCTTCCATGATGGTTAACATCAGACAAGTGACATCAACTTCATCACGGACATGCCTTTCATAAGCATCTCTAGTGGCTCTAGGAGCATTTGCCACTGGTTCTGTCACGCCCCGGACCTTCCCGGACACGTCAACAACCCGCCGCACAATACGAATAGTCAACCGCAGTCCAACACATTCATATTATACAAGGCGTCATGAATATCATTCACACATAAGTCATCCATAAACATACATAATAAACAATTGAATACGCAGCGGAAAACATTGTTTAAAACAAAAGGGCCACACAGGGCAAACATGAGCACGCAGGCTCTAAAGTAAAATATCCATGAGCATGTTTATTAATGTTCTAAAACAGAATGGAGGAAGCACGAACCAAGTCTTCTCTCCGGGGAAATCACTCGGGCAACGAGCACAGGAAGCAAGCTCTAGCCTCAACCTGAAATGGTGGTGGGACGCCCCCGAAGGGGTCAGTACTCTATACGGCTATAAAGTACTGGTGTGGCAGGCATCTAATAGATATACAACAAGTATTTCAAACACAAGACCCTCAAGTAGGGTGATAGTACATTATGATTGTAACCCTAAGTTACCCCGTTTAAAAAAATATACTTACTTTATATAAAAGTCAAGTAGTCGGCCCGTGGGCCCGTTTTCATTTGGAAATCACCATTCCCAACCCCGTGACTATAAGCCACGACAACTCCTAGAGTCCAACCCTAGTACATGACATTGTATTCTAGAGCTCGGCTCTACCACATCACCATACAATTCATATACCTCGGGTCAATTTCCCTACCTTGCGTTCTAGAGCTCGGCTCTATCACATCACCACGCAAGTCCTAGAGCTCGGCTCTAGCTATACAATACATAGACTCCAAGTCTACACCTTACATGCATTCTAGAGCTCGGCTCTATCACATCACCATGCATTAAGGTCCAATTCTCAAGCAACCCTATGCCTAGAATTAACATATCATTAAACTACCATGGGTCATCCTTAAAGACTTCCCATAACTCAACCTTAGTTCCATACTAAGTATTATATACACTTGAACTATATTCAAGTACCTTTCATACAATCCAATCCCTAGGATCAATTTAATCAACAAGTCCCAATAATCACTAACTAGTATTTCAATACTATTAAGATTATTGTTATCATACCATTATCCTCATTATTTGTAATTCTCTACATATTTATAATTATGTAGCAGCAACTTAAGTATTTAATCTCAATACACAAATATTCATTTATGTATCCACATAATTCATACATGAGTAAAATACCCATTTTCACAAAATGGTTCTTTTATACTCATTTAATCTCATATTATTCATACCTTCTCAAATCATTTCAAATTTCATTCTTTGGCAACTATATCAATATTCCATCAATATATAATCATCATAATCCATGAAAAATCATGATTTAAGCATTTAGGTAATCTCATGCTTAACCTACAAGTTGTAAGCAATTAGATGTCAATCCTCACCTCAATTGAGCTTTAAACTTTCCCTTCTTGGTCCAATGGTCAAAGCTTTGGTCAAGGTGGATTTGGAACTGATTCCTTGCTTGGAATGGAGTGTTAAACAGCCCCTTCAAAGTGCTAGTTCAACTCCTAACCGAAAATGCAAAAACAGTCCCTAGAACGGGTGTTTCCCGACGAATTCGTTCCCTAACCTTTCAAGGTTTTGTCTAGGTTAGTATCTAACCTTTCCAACAATTAAAGTCACATAATAATAACATTTTATACACTTCAATCAGTGTATAATAGTTCTTCAATCATTTATATGATTTAGACAATAGAGAGGAAGGTTTTGGATTCAAACTTACTTTGAATACAAAAACGTATTCTGCGAGGTCGTGTTTTGATCGGTCGATTTGGAGGCCTTACACTACTCCGATTTATGCAAACCAGACCTTCACGGATTCCTCGTCTTGAGAGCTTTCTTTTGGTATATCATACGCCTTATTTGGACGAGTGAAGCTCAAGTTATGGATCAAACAAGTAGCCCTATTTTCTGGAAAACGAGTCCTGCGGCCAGCTTCTCTCTTCACCTCTCCCTTGGAGTATGTGGCTCTCTCTTTCTCTCTTATCTTGGGAGTTCGAATGGGGTGTAGGGGGAGTGTATTAGGAGGCCTCAATCATGCTAAGAGAGCATGTGGTTCACCAAAAAGAAGGGTAGGGTATTTGATTGCAATCAAACATGGTGTGGACCTCCTCTTTTATTTCCTTTTTGTAATGTTGTAGTTCATGAGTCAAAAGTCCGCCCCACATCTTTGTCTCACCCATTTTCCTTTGTTTTGCAGGTACCAAGGTCATGTGGGATGGTCCCCAAATGGTCCCATTCAATTTGGGGTCCAAAATGTCTATCAATACTTCCAAAAAATGGGAAGATGGGTCCTATTGTTTTATCTTTGTCAAAGATGTCTTTTTGTACTCATCCTAATTTATTTAGAACAAGTCAACTTCCTAAATCACATTATTGACCTCCAATATGTGTAGGCTCATCCCAATAATTTACTTGATGGATGTTATAGAAGGAAAATCCTACTCCCATTATTTAGCTCAAAAATGCCAAAGATGGGGTTATAGGCATTTGTATTCTTCTTTAATCCTTCGATCACTTATATAGATAAAGTTGGACTCTTTTATTTATTAATAAGTCCCGAGTAAGTATTTGCGAAACCCGACACTAATGTACGAGTTTGAACAGTACGATATTCAACCATGCACTACGTAGAACATTGATCGTTTTACAAAATGTTTGGGAATCAGAAATCCAATACATAAGCTTTGAATATTCAAATCAAATTTTCAAGGACCTTCGGGAGCGGTGTCACAAGTTCACCCCCCCTTAACAGGAATTTCGTCCCCGAAATTCACAGCTTTACTCAAATAGGAATGCATACTGCTTCCTCATCAAGGCTTCTGTTTCCCAAGTCTCTTCTTCGACCCGGTCACTCTTCCAAAGGACTTTAACCATTGGAACTTCTTTACTCCTCAGTTTCTTCACTTTTCTGTCAATAACTCTTACCGGTTGCACGGCATAGTTCAAATCTTCACGTACCTCCACGGGCGGCTTCTCCAACACATGAGAAGGATCATGCACATACTTCTTAAGCATGGACACGTGAAATACATTATGAATCTTCTCCAACTCAGGAGTCAACTGTAGACGATATGCTACGGCCCCAACCCTCTCTATAATTCTGAATGGGCCTATATATCGTGGGTTAAGCTTTCCTCGGGTTTGGAATCGAATGATTCCTTTCCAAGGAGAAACTTTCAGGAATACCTCGTCGTCAACCTTAAACTCTAAGGTCCTTCGACGCTTATCCGCATAACTCTTTTGCCTATCCTGAGCCGCCTTGAGTCTCTCTCGAATCAACTTCACCTTTGACTTGGTGACCTCAACCAACTCAGTACCCTCGAGTTTGGCCATGCCAACCTCATCCCAGCATAATGGTGTACGGCATCTCCTCCCATACAATGCCTCGTATGGAGGCATGCCGATGCTTGCCTGATAACTGTTGTTATAGGCAAACTCCACAAGTGCTAAGTGGTTGTCCCAACTTCCTTGGAACTCTAATGCGCAAGCCCTCAGCATGTCTTCTAAGATCTGTATGACTCTTTCAGACTGCCCGTCCGTCTGTGGGTGGAAAGCAGTACTGAACTTCAACCTCGTTCCCATAGACTCCTGAAATTTCGGCCAAAAACGTGATGTGAATCGTGGGTCTCTATCGGATACAATGGTCACTGGAACCCCATGTAGCCTCACGATCTCATCCGTGTACAATTTGGCTAACCTCTCGAGTGGGTAAGTAGTGTTGATAGGTAAGAAGTGTGCACTCTTTGTGAGCCTATCTACAACAACCCAAACTGCATCATAATTCCTGATCGTCCGTGGCAACCCTACCACAAAATCCATAGTCACGTGTTCCCACTTCCATTCAGGAATGGAAAGTGGTTGCAATAAGCCCGCTGGATGCTGATGCTCTGCCTTAACTTGTTGACAAGTAAGGCATCGACTGATATATTCGGCTATTTCTCTCTTCATACCTGACCACCAGTAACTCTCCTTCAGGTCACGGTACATCTTCGTGCCCCCCGGGTGCATGGCATAAGCCGATGAATGAGCTTCCTCTAAGATGGACTTTCGGAGCTCGTCATCTGCCGGTACACACACTCGGTCACGAAATAATAAGAGACCGTCATCTCTTTCTCGGAAGTCCTCCACCGGTCCCGCTTGCATGCGTTCCCGGATCTTCATAATTTCTTCGTCGGTTTCCTGACCCTTCTTGATCTCATCAAGTAAAGTGGGTCTCACCTCAAATCGTGCCAATAAGGCACCATCGCTGGATACCTCCAGTTGGGCTCTTAATGCCCTCAAATTAGCTAGCAATGGCCCAGACGAGCTTTTCCGGCTCAAAGCATCTGCCACCACGTTAGCCTTGCCTGGGTGATACTCTATCACCAGATGGTAGTCTTTTATCAACTCCATCCACCGTCTCTGTCTCATGTTTAGCTCTTTCTGAGTAAACACGTATTTCAAGCTCTTATGATCGGTATATATGTGACATGTCTCTCCGTAGAGATAATGTCTCCAAATCTTCAGTGCAAACACCACCGCTCCCAGCTCCAAATCATGGGTAGGATAATTTACCTCATGCTTCTTCAACTGTCGTGAAGCATAGGCAATTACCCTCCCTTCCTGCATCAGTACACACCCAAACCCCTGGATGCTCGCGTCACTATAGACATCGTACCCCACACCCTGTTTGGGTAATGCAAGTACCGGTGCCTCGGTCAACCGTTTCTTTAGTTCCATGAACCCCTTCTCACATTTGTCATCCCATACAAACTTAGCTCCTTTACGAGTGAGCTTCGTCAATGGTGATGCCAAAACAGAGAACTTCTCCACGAACTTCCTGTAGTAGCCTGCCAATCCAAGGAAACTACGAATTTCCTTAACGTTCTTTGGCCTCTCCCACTCGGTAATGGCTTCTATCTTCTTGTTATCAACAGCAATTCCCGATCCAGAAACCACGTGCCCGAGAAAGCCAATCTCCTTAAGCCAAAATTCACATTTAGAAAATTTGGCATAGAGTTGCTTCTCCCGTAGTGTCTCAAGAACAAGTATCAAGTGCTCCTCATGCTCTTCCTCACTCTTTGAGTAGATCAAGATGTCATCAATGAACACAATCACGAATCGGTCCAAGTATTTGTGAAATACTCGGTTCATTAAGTCCATGAATGCCGCCGGGGCGTTTGTTAACCCAAACGACATAACAAGGAACTCAAAATGCCCATATCTCGTGCGGAAAGCACTCTTCGGTATGTCATCCTCCTTAATCTTCAATTGATGGTACCCCGACCTCAAGTCAATCTTTGAAAACACGGTTGCTCCTCGTAGTTGATCAAACAAGTCATCAATCCTAGGCAAGGGATACCTATTCTTGATTGTGACCTTGTTCAGTTGACGATAGTCAATGCACATTCGAAGTGTTCCATCCTTCTTTTTCACAAAAAGGACCGGTGCCCCCCATGGGGAGTGGCTTGGTCTGATGAAACCGCTATCCAAAAGCTCTTGCAATTGGGTTTTTAACTCGTTAAGTTCAGCGGGTGCCATCCGGTATGGCGGTATGGAGATTGGTTTGGTACCCGGCTCGACCTCGATCACAAATTCAATCTCTCTGTCAGGTGGAAGCCCCGGTAGGTCTTTAGGGAAGACATCCGGATACTTACAAACCACCCTCACATCATCGATGTTCGTTCCCTCTTTGGTTTTGTCAACCACGTATGCTAGATATGCGTGGCATCCCTTCCTCATCATATTTCTCGCTCTCACGGCGGATATGATACAACTATTTGATTTGCCGCGGTCCCCCTCAAAGCGTAGGGTGTCCCCATGTGTGCCTTCGAGTTCCAACACCTTTGTGTAGCAATCTACCCTAGCATGATGCTTTTCTAGCCAATCCATCCCTAGGATTGCATCGAACTCCATCATACTCAGCGGTACGAAATCACACGTCAAGGTTTGGCCACCGATTTCCACCATACAAGATGGATAGTAATTGTTTCTTTCAACGTCTTCCCCTAGTGGGGTTGATACCACTAAGGTTTGTGTCATTGGTATTGATTGCATCTCTAAGCTCTCGGCAAACGCCTCACTCACGAATGAACGTTGCGCTCCGGTATCGATAAGGATTCGTGCATCCTTCCCATTAATCTTTAATGTTCCTACATTTATACACCATGTAAGATACCTTTTCTAATGGTTTAGGACACTTTTTGGAGGTTAATAGGTTCATATAGATGTTCGGAATCAAACGGGGGTCCAATCGTAGAAGAACGAGAGGAAAAACTTAGGTTTCGGGCGGCTGGGGTCCACGCACGGTCGTGCGTGGGACACGCACGGTCGTGCGTGCATGGAAAAAATTTCGCTTCCGGCTACTGCCGGTTACGCACGGTCGCGCGTACCCGGACACGCACGATCGTGCGTCCACGCACGGCGTGCGTACCGGCACGCACGGTCGTGCGTCCTGCGCGAACATCACCCGGAACCACTGCCCCCTACGCACGATCGTGCGTGGGGTTGGACGCACGATCGTGCGTCCCTGTTTTTGGTCAGTTCTGGCCCGAATTTCGCCGTTTGACCCCGTAATGGCTCGCACTCAATCCCTATGACTTATGTCATCAATTTATGGATTAACTATGGACAAAATACAATTGTGCAAGAGGCAATACCTGCAACCGAGTCCGGGTTGGCTCGAGCATCCGCCTCCGTCATCGCATAAACTCTAGCTTGAGTTCTTCCTTGATTCACGGATGGCGCGTTGCTCGCACTCGCTCCCCCATGTCCCCGGCTCGCTTGAGAAGCTCCGGTTTGATTCCGTGTACCCGTCGGGCCACTGCTCGGTCCCGATGTCCTTGTCCCACCCAATTGTGGGCAATGCGCCTTCAAATGCCCGGCATCCCCACATTGAAAGCATCTAGGGGGGTCGCGACATTTACCGGAGTGGTTCCTCTTGCAATTGTTGCAACGAGTTACCACCGAGGTTTGTGACCTCGAGCCTTGCCCACTCGGGCCTTGATTCCCCCTAGACGGTGGCGGCGGTGCCCGGAAAGATCCTCCTCCATGGTTCCCCTTTTTGTTGGGACCTTGGGAGCCATGACTCTCCCATTTTCTCTTTTTCGCCTCCTCGGCGTCTCTCTTCTTCCTCTCCTCCCACTGTTTCTCCCCCTTCAACGCTTGGTCAACCACTTGGGCGAAGGTCATATTTGGCAATTGTGTTGCCCTATCACGTATCTCCAAGTCAAGGGCGTCCCAAAAGTGGTTCACCATGCGGTTCTCGTCACAAGCATACTCCGGTATGTAGTCGGCGAGATCCCGGAACTTGTACTCAAGCTCCTTCACTGACATGTTACCCCCTTGGGTTAGGAGGGTGTATTCCCTCACCTTCTTATTCACCTCGAAATCAGAATAGTATTGGGCAAAGAACTCCCGTTGGAAGTCCTCCCAAACGACGGTCTCACCGTACTTGTTCTTGGTTCCATCCCACCACTTGGATGCCATCCCCTCGAGCAATCTTACCGCAATTCTCAGTTTGAGATTCGGCGCGATTTGCATGTCAAGGGCCGCTTCATTTAGCCTCTTGATCCATTGTGCTGCCACTGAAATGTCCCCTGCTCCATCAAAGGGTTTGCACCCCAAATCTCTTGCTTCTTTGATGTATTTGGAGATCCTTATGGTTGGACCTCCATCATTTTGGCCTCCACGTGGTTCCACATGGACTCTAGATGCACCATGACTTCCTCCTCGTGAAGCCATGCCCGAAGGTTGCCCAGCCCGGCGCCTTCGGCGTTCCCTCCTCTCTTCACGCTCACGGTGATATTGTTGGAGTAGTGCCTCAATCCGCGCTAAGGAGCCGTTGTCCTCCTCATCACTTACATCATCATCATCCCCTTCATAAGGGGTTTCAACCGGCTCTGTTTCCGGCCGATAGGTCGAGTCCTCATAGGACCAGTAGCTGTCACTTTCGGTGCTCACATGACCGTCACTCACGGTCCGTGATTGGCCTCCACGGCCCGCTCCTCCAGATGCCCTAGAGGTCCTACGACTGCCTTGCCCAGTCTCCTCGGGTGCACGGCCCAAAGGGTTCCTCCTAGTTACCTTGCCACCACGGTCCATTTCTGAAAGAAATTTGGAAAGAGTCGTTAGACTCGTATCAAATGTCAATTGACGGATAGGTACTTAAGACACATTTTGGCTCGAGTCACCGCCATACCAATTGCTAAGGGTACCATCTTAACAATTAGAGACCTTGCAACCCAAGTACCAAAAGCTCTCCAAGTACAAAACTTCTATGCTCATGGTTTTCAAAATCTTTCCAAAAAGAGAATTTTGAGACTTCATTATGAAGTTTATGGACTAAGGCTCTGATACCAACTTAATTGTCACGCCCCGGACCTTCCCGGACACGTCAACAACCCGCCGCACAATACGAATAGTCAACCGCAGTCCAACACATTCATATTATACAAGGCGTCATGAATATCATTCACACATAAGTCATCCATAAACATACATAATAAACAATTGAATACGCAGCGGAAAACATTGTTTAAAACAAAAGGGCCACACAGGGCAAACATGAGCACGCAGGCTCTAAAGTAAAATATCCATGAGCATGTTTATTAATGTTCTAAAACAGAATGGAGGAAGCACGAACCAAGTCTTCTCTCCGGGGAAATCACTCGGGCAACGAGCACAGGAAGCAAGCTCTAGCCTCAACCTGAAATGGTGGTGGGACGCCCCCGAAGGGGTCAGTACTCTATACGGCTATAAAGTACTGGTGTGGCAGGCATCTAATAGATATACAACAAGTATTTCAAACACAAGACCCTCAAGTAGGGTGATAGTACATTATGATTGTAACCCTAAGTTACCCCGTTTAAAAAAATATACTTACTTTATATAAAAGTCAAGTAGTCGGCCCGTGGGCCCGTTTTCATTTGGAAATCACCATTCCCAACCCCGTGACTATAAGCCACGACAACTCCTAGAGTCCAACCCTAGTACATGACATTGTATTCTAGAGCTCGGCTCTACCACATCACCATACAATTCATATACCTCGGGTCAATTTCCCTACCTTGCGTTCTAGAGCTCGGCTCTATCACATCACCACGCAAGTCCTAGAGCTCGGCTCTAGCTATACAATACATAGACTCCAAGTCTACACCTTACATGCATTCTAGAGCTCGGCTCTATCACATCACCATGCATTAAGGTCCAATTCTCAAGCAACCCTATGCCTAGAATTAACATATCATTAAACTACCATGGGTCATCCTTAAAGACTTCCCATAACTCAACCTTAGTTCCATACTAAGTATTATATACACTTGAACTATATTCAAGTACCTTTCATACAATCCAATCCCTAGGATCAATTTAATCAACAAGTCCCAATAATCACTAACTAGTATTTCAATACTATTAAGATTATTGTTATCATACCATTATCCTCATTATTTGTAATTCTCTACATATTTATAATTATGTAGCAGCAACTTAAGTATTTAATCTCAATACACAAATATTCATTTATGTATCCACATAATTCATACATGAGTAAAATACCCATTTTCACAAAATGGTTCTTTTATACTCATTTAATCTCATATTATTCATACCTTCTCAAATCATTTCAAATTTCATTCTTTGGCAACTATATCAATATTCCATCAATATATAATCATCATAATCCATGAAAAATCATGATTTAAGCATTTAGGTAATCTCATGCTTAACCTACAAGTTGTAAGCAATTAGATGTCAATCCTCACCTCAATTGAGCTTTAAACTTTCCCTTCTTGGTCCAATGGTCAAAGCTTTGGTCAAGGTGGATTTGGAACTGATTCCTTGCTTGGAATGGAGTGTTAAACAGCCCCTTCAAAGTGCTAGTTCAACTCCTAACCGAAAATGCAAAAACAGTCCCTAGAACGGGTGTTTCCCGACGAATTCGTTCCCTAACCTTTCAAGGTTTTGTCTAGGTTAGTATCTAACCTTTCCAACAATTAAAGTCACATAATAATAACATTTTATACACTTCAATCAGTGTATAATAGTTCTTCAATCATTTATATGATTTAGACAATAGAGAGGAAGGTTTTGGATTCAAACTTACTTTGAATACAAAAACGTATTCTGCGAGGTCGTGTTTTGATCGGTCGATTTGGAGGCCTTACACTACTCCGATTTATGCAAACCAGACCTTCACGGATTCCTCGTCTTGAGAGCTTTCTTTTGGTATATCATACGCCTTATTTGGACGAGTGAAGCTCAAGTTATGGATCAAACAAGTAGCCCTATTTTCTGGAAAACGAGTCCTGCGGCCAGCTTCTCTCTTCACCTCTCCCTTGGAGTATGTGGCTCTCTCTTTCTCTCTTATCTTGGGAGTTCGAATGGGGTGTAGGGGGAGTGTATTAGGAGGCCTCAATCATGCTAAGAGAGCATGTGGTTCACCAAAAAGAAGGGTAGGGTATTTGATTGCAATCAAACATGGTGTGGACCTCCTCTTTTATTTCCTTTTTGTAATGTTGTAGTTCATGAGTCAAAAGTCCGCCCCACATCTTTGTCTCACCCATTTTCCTTTGTTTTGCAGGTACCAAGGTCATGTGGGATGGTCCCCAAATGGTCCCATTCAATTTGGGGTCCAAAATGTCTATCAATACTTCCAAAAAATGGGAAGATGGGTCCTATTGTTTTATCTTTGTCAAAGATGTCTTTTTGTACTCATCCTAATTTATTTAGAACAAGTCAACTTCCTAAATCACATTATTGACCTCCAATATGTGTAGGCTCATCCCAATAATTTACTTGATGGATGTTATAGAAGGAAAATCCTACTCCCATTATTTAGCTCAAAAATGCCAAAGATGGGGTTATAGGCATTTGTATTCTTCTTTAATCCTTCGATCACTTATATAGATAAAGTTGGACTCTTTTATTTATTAATAAGTCCCGAGTAAGTATTTGCGAAACCCGACACTAATGTACGAGTTTGAACAGTACGATATTCAACCATGCACTACGTAGAACATTGATCGTTTTACAAAATGTTTGGGAATCAGAAATCCAATACATAAGCTTTGAATATTCAAATCAAATTTTCAAGGACCTTCGGGAGCGGTGTCACAGGTTCAGCAGGAATTGGTTGGTCAAGGACATATTCTTTACGCTCTTACCTGAGAACAATTCTCAGATTCCTATCCTAGTCCATGTAATTTGTTCCATTAAGTTTTTCCTTCTCAAGGATAGATCACAGTGAAAAAGTTGTGTTGGTGGCCATATTTACTACAACAAATAATGCAAAGAATTTTAAATAATGCTAAAAAATAACTCCCACTATATTAAACAGAAAGTCCCAAATATAGCGGTTCAAGATCTATATTTCACTAAAATTTAAGTAAGTTTTGGCTTATCACTTAAACATTAGTTATTTAGGTGAACAACTCTTGTTAATCATATCCTATGTGACTCTTGGTTTGTTTGGTCAACATCATTTGATTATCCAAAGACTCATTGCTTCAAGGCCCAAAACCATTTTGATGGCCTTGTAAGTACAAACCAATGTTAAGACCCGAGAATGACGATCATTCAAAACATCTTCCTAAGATAGTGTGAAATGCTCTGCTTTGGCAGACACATATCACGACTAGCATAGTTTAAATGGTGATCATATTGGAAAAGCAATTTAGACTTATAATTAGTCGGGACTAATGATTACACACATACAACAATCATAGATTTAAATAAATAATTTAAAAACTAATGCAGTGATATAGCATGATTCCAAAAATCTTCATATCTCCTTGGCATCTTCAACCTGTGTAGTATACTACTAAATATCTACGGGGTTGAAAAACATTACAGGGGATAGTGGGAAAAACGACACGCAGACCGTAAAACAACATAATTTAAAAACATACATTCGGATCATGCTATACCACCAATTCAAACTGTCCCTGTGACGAAACAAAATAATTGCGCATGCACGGATTGAAATTAAATTTTAAAATTCGCAAGTAATATGTAATTAATTCGGATCTCATCCGAAAAATAAAATACATATTAAGGAATTCTAAAATAATTCGTATTATGTATGCACATATACAGATCATATCTGTAATATAGATTAGTACACATATATAAATACAAATAATATATAATGAACTAAAATTCGAATTTGGCACAACACTTGATCAAACCATTCGAATTATAATATGGGAGAATTTGTCATGGCTTTGCTTTGATTTGTTTAGAGCTTGCCTTCCCGTTTCTGAAAAGTACTTATGGGCCGAAAACGGATTAACGAGTCAAAAGTTAGGGCCAAAACAAGATTGTCTGATACACAAAAACAGCTCATTAGCCAGCGGTTGCAAAAATAATTCGTATCTCATCCGAAAAATTAGAAACCAAATCTCTCAAAATTAAAATAATATTCTGAATATAAACTAGATCAAAATTCAATAAAAAAAAAACTGAATTTCATGTCCAATCTGATCTGTTCCGAATAATTAGGTAGTAGGATTTTATCCAATTCCTAATCCCATTCAGATCTGATCCGAAAATTAATGAATAATATCATAAAATATTCTTAACATAAATTATGAGTATCAATTTGGATCTAATTCAAACTCTTGAATTATCATGTCCATTCAGATCTCTTCTGAATAATTAGGCTGTAGGATTCCATTCAATTCCTAATCTATTCAGATCTGATTTCAGTGATGATGTTCTGCTGAGTCTTGGAAAAAGGTTTTGGAAAGAGACTGAGATCGCAGATTCTTGAAAACTCTGGACTGAAATCAACTGAAGGCAGTCTGAAAACTAAACTGAGATAGAGATATAACAAACTAAACTGAAATCTGAAAAGAAAAACTAAACTGAAATGGATGTCTAATTTGATACAGTCTCAGAACCTTAGCAGAACATCAGAGAACACTTTAGTTCATAACCTTAGTCCAAAAACTGTCTCACCTCCGGCCATCACCCTCTGGTTCGCCTGCCGTCGTCGACCGGTGACCGGAAGTCTGCACGCCCAAATCAGCGCACGTGAGCTACACGCGCCATCAGAAGCCACTGCAACCATCGCACGCGCCGGCGCGTCCTGCCGTGTTTCTGGTCAAAGCTTCGATTGGAAGTCATCACCACACTCGCCGTCGTGTCTTCTACCACATGTGCTTTCTATTTCCAAGTATCTTCTGAAGAGAATCTTGGAAATCTCACCTGTTCATTCTCCCGCCAGGGACACGGATATCTGTTGGCTGGAGGAAGTCTGGTTATTTGGTCGCTGGATTCAGGCACCCGACATCTGTGGAGATCGGATATATGTTAGCCAGTCCGTTTCTTGCTAGCGGAGTCCGTTATTTTACTGGAGTCCAAAGACCTAGTGGATTACTACGTATTTATTTTTTCCAAAATTTGAGCCCACACGTAAAAGGCTGCTATAAGTTTCCAATGCAATCTCAGATTTGATTTGATTTTAAACAAAAAAAAAAGAGAGATAGAAAATACAAAAAAAAGAACAAAAAAAAATGTTTCGTACAGGTCAATTTGACAGAGGAGTAATATACAATTACTGCAAGAAGTCCGGACACTTGCTCAAAGATTGTAGAAATTTGGCATTCAAAAATCAAGGAAATTTGATTGCTCATGTTGCTTCCGCTACCACCTCATGTGATGGATCAGTTGCTATTTCTTCGGATGAATATGCCAAATTTATTTGCTACCAAGAATCTCTAAAGGAAATGAATGCTTTAGATCTTAATGGTACTTGAGATTTGGTTGACTTGCCTACAGGGAAGAAATCTATTGGATGTAAGTGGGTCTTTGCTGTTAAGGTTAACCCAGACGGAACTGTAGCTCGGTTGAAAGCCCGATAAGTTGCGAAGGGTTATGCTGAAACCTATGGTATTGATTATTCTGACACTTTTTCTCCTGTTGCTAAATTAACATCTGTCAGGTTACTTAATTCACTTGTTGCAACTCATGATTGGCACTTACATCAGTTGGACATTAAAAATGCATTTTTGCATGGTGACCTTAAGGAAGAAGTCTATATTGAGCAACCTCCGGGATTTGTTGCTCAGGGGGAGTATGGCAAAGTTTGTCAACTTCGCAAATCTCTTTATGGTCTGAAACAGAGTCCTCGTGCATGGTTTGGGAAATTCAGTCAATCAATTGAACAATTTGGAATGATAAAAGGCAAATCAGATCACTCTGTCATTTACAAACAAACAGAATCAGGTGTCACATTGCTTGTGGTGTATGTTGATGATATTGTGATAACAGGGAGTGATAATGCAGGTATTTTGGCCCTTAAGAATTTTCTGCATAGTCAATTCCGGACGAAAGATCTTGGCTCTTTGAAATACTTTCTGGGAATTGAGGTAACACGAAGTAAGAAAGGCATATTTCTATCTCAACGTAAATATGTACTTGACTTACTAGCTGAGACAGGGAAATTAGAGGCAAAACCAAGTACAACACCCATGGTTCCCAACGTGCAACTCACTCAAGAAGGCACACCGTTTGAAGACCCAGAAAGATATAGAAGACTGGTTGGAAAGCTTAATTATCTCGCAGTAACTCGTCCGGATATTGCCTATTCTGTGAGTGTAGTAAGTCAATACATGTCATCTCCAACCATTGATCATTGGGTTGCAGTAGAACAAATATTATGTTACTTAAAGGGTGCACCAAGACGAGGTATTGTTTATCAAAACCATGATCACATGAGAATAGAATGTTTTGCAGATGCTGATTGGGCCGGTTCTAAAGATGATTGAAGATCTACATCTGGTTATTGTGTCTTTGTTGGTGGTAATATTGTATCTTGGAAGAGTAAGAAGCAGAATGTGGTTTCTAATTCGAGTGCCGAATCAGAATATCGAGCTATGGCACAATCTGCATGTGAGATCATATGGATAAGCCATTTATTGACCGAGCTCGGACTGAAGACATCAATGTCTGCATATTGAGGTCGATTGTCATTTTATTCGAGAGAAGATACAAAAAGGATTGATCTCTACAGGATATGTGAAGACTGGGGAACAACTTGGAGATTTGTTCACTAAAGCACTAAATGGAATTTGAGTTGGTTATTTATGTAACAAGTTGGGCATGATAAATATCTATGCTCCAACTTGAGGGGGAGTGTGAAAGTATATTAGAATATACTTTAATATATGCTTTAGAATATATTAGGAATATGCCATATATAGTATTATTGTATAGCATCTTTTATAAGAATATTCTATTTTTGTAATCTATATTTATGGGGCTTTTCCCTTCAATGAAATATACAGAAAATCCTTCTCTCCATGTTCAATATCATTCTAGTTTATACTTTAACACAACCAATGATCCAAAATAAAAAACAAACTGGAATAT